CACTAATGATGTCAGTGATTACCTGTGGTACATGACAAGGTATAATATTAATCCCCTTTTCTTGGTTCTGAAAACTATAAATTTTTGCTGAATTTTGTTGAAATATGGCAGTGTGAACCTAGACAAGGATGATCCCATCTGGAGCAATAATATGAGCATCAGGATTAACAACACTGGCCATCCGTTGCACCTTTATGTGAATGGGGACTTCATTGGCTCCAATTGGACCACTTATGGGATTCCCAAGTCTGTCTTCGAGACCAAAGCAAAATTCAGACATGGAAAGAACCAAATCTCAATTTTGAGTGCTGCTGTTGGTCTTCAGAACTATGGTTCATTCTTTGACATGGCTGGAACTGGATTGTCCGGTGGCCCAGTTGAGATCGTTGGAAGAAAAGACGATGAGACCATCTCTAAAGACGTATCTTCCCACAAATGGTCGTACAAGATTGGACTCCATGGCGAAGCCCACAAACTGTTCAGCAATCAATCTCGCTTTGCTTCTCAGTGGCAATCTGATAAGCTCCCTGTCAATTCTAGTATGACTTGGTACAAGGTAAATATATATACATTACACAGATTGTTATCTGATCTTATCTTAAATCTGCTTAGATTTTAAGTATCTGTGTTTTGGGTGTTTAGACCACTTTCAAGGCTCCAAAGGGAAAAGATCCAGTTGTGGTGGACTTGGTTGGTTTAGGCAAGGGGTTTGCGTGGGTGAACGGCAACAACTTAGGCCGTTACTGGCCGAGCTTTTTAGCCGAGGAAGGTTGCTCCTCGGACCCTTGTGATTACAGAGGACCATACACCAACACAAAATGCGTCTCAAATTGTGGCAAACCAACACAGAGATGGTACCATGTCCCGCGATCCTTCCTTAACAAGGGCGACAATGAACTCATCCTTTTTGAGGAGATCGGAGGCACTCCCGCCAACGTGAGCTTCCAAACAGTGAGGGTTGGGAGTGTTTGTGCAAATGCTTATGAGAAGAAGGTGATGGAGATATCATGCCATGGCCGCCCCATTTCTGCCATTAAATATGCCCATTTTGGCCAGACACAAGGGCTGTGTGGATCATTCAAGAAGGGCAGTTGTGGTGGCGCTAAGGATGCTCTAACCATTCTGAAAACTGCATGCGAGGGGAAGGAGTCGTGCTCGGTGACTGCTACTGAGGATGTGTTCGGCAAGACAAATTGTGATGGGAAGAAGAGCAAGAAGAAGTTGGTGGTGGAAGCTGTTTGCTCCAAAATTTTGTAGTTCTCATAGTTTTCGTTTTAGTTACTGCTAGTTTAGTTGCTAGCTAGCATTTGATAATTAACTTTCATCATTAATAAAAGTGATTTCTGAGCATTACGGAGTATTATTTCACACAATTTTGATTTATCAGGATAACTTCCAACAAACAAAAACAATTAAAACAGAATGACCATTATTATTATATCCAATGTGACTATAATTTATTACATAATGCTTTAAATTATGATGAGTTTAAACTAAAAACAATTAAAATGGGAGCATATTTTTATATTATAGTCTGGGATGGATTGTTATTCTCCAAAATTAACCAACAACCATGGAGGAAGGTAGTAGCTTCTTTGAGTATAGTCTGGGCAGGACCTTGTGATTCCATATCTTCTCGTTCTTGGCTTCCCAAATCTTTGAGCAAATCATAATCATCTAACCAAGAGCCTTATCGTTAAGCATAGTAGAGTCGCTGTAACCAGCAAATCTCTTTGTAACATCCTGTAGCAGCAGCTACGAACAGTTTAGTGACCTCTTTCCTTCCCCATCCAAATAATTTTGTTAGCTTGAACTCTGCAATTGTAATTTTTATAATCCGAGTCGCGTCCTCCTCAATGAAAATGTCTTCATCAATGTTACGCAGCCAAGGTTCATACCACACCTTTATAGAAGTGTTATCCCCCACCCTTCATCTATATCCACTTTTTAAAACAGATTGTGCTTCAAGAATACTACGCCAAATAAATAAAGGATTCCTCCAGGCTAGCTTTGAAAAAAGAAAGTATCCAAGACTTTTGCCATCAAGGAGTTTTAATTTGTTGTTGGATGATTCTCCAACAAAATGGAAAGAAAAGGAAATAATGGATGAAAATGCCCTATAAAAGCTCAATGAATTTTTGCCCAAGACTTTTCACCCAAAATATTTTGTACTTTGTGCACTGAGAGTTGTCAAATTGTTTGTCTATTTTACTCTTTCCGATGCCGCCGTTTAAATTCCGATTATATAGAGGACAATACTCACACTATTTAGGTGGGCCAGATTGGTATGATGCACACTTCCCTTTTTACTTGTTTCAATTTTTTACCATTTCATGTTCATTCCTTGGTAGATTTTACTGTTTATTATATTTTATTGATGTCAGAATTCATTCAACTACTTTAGTTCATTGTTATTTTTAGATGTCCTTTTTATCCAATTTGTTAGATTTTCCCCTTACTTCAATTGTCCTTTGGAATACTTATTTTGCCTTCAATATTGGTCTCTGTTCTGAACATTTGAGGGGAGTTGTTAGCTAATTCGTGGGTTGATTTATCCCTTGCATAAGCTCCCACTTTTTATTATACATAGCCGACTATTGTACATAAGTTTCATTTCTCTCCGATTTGTTTTCGTTTTCTCCTTGTGTAAGTTACTACCATTTTCTGCTCTCATTTCACTTTAACTGCTTATGATTTTCTACTTTTCTTTCATTTACCATTTTTGTTTGAGTTTTATCGTCGTGCTTGTATAAAATATTTTGATTGATACTTTAATTAAACATGTCTTTATTATGTTGCGCATTTCTCTTGAATTGCTTTTGGTTTTCTACTTGTCTTCTCATTAACGATAAAATAAAATGAACATGAAATTTATAAATTGATTAAAGACTGGGAATGAACAGTTAAAGGTGCCAAGGGAAATTTATGTTGAAATTTTTAGCTAAAAATGACATTTTGAGTGATTATTTTGTGGTACAAATATATGTGGGTCCACTTCTGATTTGGGTCGGGTCAAAGTGGATTCGGGTTCTTCGTAGTGAGACGAAGAATTTGATATAATGTACGCTCAAAATGGGTAATAGGTGAATGAGAAATTGATTCTCAAAGTGAACCTATTTGGGAGAAGTCAAAATCTTAAGCTAATTGCTAATTAAGTTAGCAACTTGTTATTAAGCTTTGATTCGTTGTACACGAAATAAGCTTGATTAAGCTTAAGTAATTAAGCATTGTTTGCTTAATTAGTGAATTGGGAATGGAGCTCCTTTCGTGCTTAGCATTCAGTGCTACACGAAAGTTGTGTAATTAAGCTTTGGGAGCTTAATTTGAGAAATGGAACTAAAGCTTAATTAGTGAATTGAGTTATGAGTTCATTTCGTGTGAGCTCCTTTCGTGCTATGGATTCGGTGAGCACGAGTCAATGCTATATGCATTGATTCGTGTTGCACTGTTTCGGTACGTGTGAACCACTCGCGTGTGGTTTTCGGTCCCAATTCGTTAAACCTTCGGGTTGATATGGACTTCTCGGTCACTCAAATATTTTGAAACGGGTCGTTATGGTCAGTACGAATTAATCGCGTATTAAGTTCGTGACCGTTGGAATTATTACGATAATAATTACGACCGTTTCAAACGTTATTATCCAATTATTAAATTTTGAATTTATATTGGTTAATGGCCATGAATATGCTATTTAATTCCTCTATCCCTACAAATACCTTGGGTGGTTGGCAGAATTTTTGGGCACATTCTTGTTGAAACTCTCAAAATCTTTCTTTGTTTTCTCTCTACTCTCATCTCGTTTACAAAGGGAAATTTCTGACAACATCTTCTGAAAACATCGGAGTGCTCAACTTGTGTTCTAGTTCGCCGGGCTTTGGGTTGGAGTGCTCGAACGCCAAAGTCGTAGTCCGTTTTATCCTGGGAGACTGACGCCACAACGATCCTAGCACCCTCGGGAGGTGGCGAATCGGTTTTAAGGAGAGTGTGTGTACACACGACTCGGGCTTCCTATACTTCTTCTTGTTTCTTCGCGTTGGGTTGAAACCTCAGGTTAGAAACCCGTTCTTATTTTATTTCGTTCTTGGTTTTGGACCAAGTGGTGGGATTAATCTTAGAAAGATTAAATCCTTGTACTAGTCTCGTACTAGTTGTGGTGGGATTATTTTGATAAAATAAATCTCAATTTGGTTAATATATATACGCTGTATATATATGTAATTTTGGTTTCGAACCAAAATTTGTTGGAATTAATTTTCTATAAATTAAATTCCATTTTTCGGGACAAATATATATTTTATATATATTTTGTGTATCGATTTATTCACCATTTTCCAACAATTTAAACATGAAATTAATTAATAAATAAACAAGAAATAGATAAATGACATAAGGTTTGCTCAAAAATGTGTCGCTGCCTTCGTCTGGACCGTCCAGATTTGGCCACTTTTTTGAGTCTGAGCAAACTACTTTAAGTTGCTACTTCAATTCAAATCAGACCAATTCCCATTCTTGGACCACTTTGAAGTTATTGCAGAGGGTGCTATTTGCAGGGGGACTGATTGGCCTGAATCCTAAATATTGGGAACCCAGAAAGATCCCATGTACGAAAAGACTCCATATTGGTGTTCTGCAATTCATAAATTTCTTTGGTTTCGAGCATTTGTCACCATTTTAGTGTCAACGTTTTTTTTATTTGGACTTGATATTACAGGCACTGTTCGTCTTTCTCATTTTGGTCACTCGATGGTGAAATCTCCTATTAGCAGAATGGTAAAACGAAATGGCCTGGTTTACCCTATCATTGGGTTTGCATCTTTGGTGACTTTTATTTACCTGTGTTTTGGGGACCTATGGATAGATGTCCAGAAAGAAACAAAATTAAATCTGCTACTTCAATTCAAACCAAAACCAATTTTCAAAACTAGCTTATTGTAATCAAATGCTATAATTATATATGGGAAGAAAACACACACACACAAAACGTAATTATTAGGTTTGGATGAGGAAAATTGAACTGCAGCCTGATTCTTTATTATGATAGAGAACAAACAAATGCAGAAAACAAAAATTATTCGACAAGCTACATAATGCAATGCCCATACAACCATTACTTAGTTCCTTTTATTTCTCACTTCTCCCCTGGATTATAAAACTAAATATGCATCGTGATGTCGAACATGATTGACTCATCACACCAAATAAATACAATACAAAACCTTGTTTACTGAGAGTGAAGAGCTAATGTCTCCAAAGATTTGATGCTCAAACACTGATCATCGAGTTTCATCTTCAAGGTTGCGGAATCCAGAAATCAAATCCTCGTGAAGCTTTTTGAACTTGCCTACCAAGACGTCTTCTCCTTCAGCAGGATCCTCAAATTTCTGAGACCTGCTCGGGAAAAAGGGAAGGGAATGAAAAATGGATTCATGAGTAGACCAACAACAATAGTGGTGGTGTTATTTTATCATGCAATCATGTCCATTTACTAGGCCGAAATGTTTACTTACACCAAACGGTAAAACAGATCTCCCAGGCGGTGCTTAATCAAACTGTAAGTAATCTTCTGACCATCCATACCAGCTCCTCGTTCAACAGCCTGCCAAGAAAGTGGCATCAATGTATTGTTAAATAATAATAATAATGAGCATTTTACCATTTCTAAATTTGCAAATTGACACATTGTTTTATATAATCTCTTCCAAATATCTTATAACCTAGTTCTGTTTCAGAATGAGTCCAAGGATAAACAGAACAGAAGTGGATGTATTGGACTTAGTTGATGGTTGGTTAGAGTTGCTTCATTGTGGAACTAAAAAGTATGCTACTATATCCGGAGTATATTTTTTGGGGGTACATAAAAAGTATACTATAATTAGACACACATGTGCGCGCATATGTATGCTAACACCCACCCCACCCCATCTGTGGGCATGTCGAAAAAAATAGGTAAATGAAAAGTAAAGCTTTTATACCTGATTGGCCAAGTTGTAAAAATGGATGATGTTCCGCAGCATCCAAACAGACTTGTAGAATGGGCAGAATTTGTCATATCTGCCACAACATAACATAAAAGTGAGTACAGAAATCCTGAGACCCATAATAAGGTAAAAGCCTTAAAAGACATGGCTGCAAGGAAAATTTACGGTGTAAAAGCATTTTGTGCAAGGTAGTCCTCTCTCAAAAGTTTAGCAGTTTCCAGGGTAATTTTATCTGACTCGGCTAAAGCATCCTTTCCAACAAGCTGCAAAAAAGCAATATAGCAACATCAACTTTTCAGTTCAGTTATTTACTCCATACTGTGTTTCTATAGCTGTTTTTATTTTGGTTTTTCGAAATGATAGCATGAAGCATTATGTTAGTGTGAATTGTGATACAATTATTTGTAGCTAGGTCCAGCAAATAACATCATAAACCAATGGCCAATCATGACACCTGACTCTAGTGTATAAACTCTAAAAACACGTGCAAGAGAGACAGGAAAAAGAAACTACTTACCCCATATTTGATTTACATGTAATAAGGAGAAGGGGAAAAAAAAAAGGAGTATCTAAGGTCCAAAATGAAGTGTTTCCAAAACACAAGAAAACAAATAATATTTTTCTTAAATTTAAAATACTAAAATAGTAACCCTAGATTCTTTAAACCAATGAACAAGTTTTTCATCACATTTGTAGATAAATCAATATACAGATGCCAGGGTATGTGCCTATGTCAGAAGAAATTCATTGGCTACACTAACATTCCACAGGGGATTACCACCTCTTAAATTTTATTCCTTTCTAACCTTTTTATGATATACTAGATAAACAATAAGAACAGTAGAAGTAAATACCTGCACAATTTCATTCAGGTCATCTTCCCTCTGCAGTACCTCACGAGCTTTTGTTCGTATACTGATGAAATCAGGATCAAACTTCTCATAAAAGGACTCCAATGCCTGGATGTGTGAGTGTTAGAACAAAATTTTCTCAAGGAAAAGTAATCCAAGGAGATTACTAGCACAGAACTATTGAACTAAATGCATTAAGAGAAAAATAGGCGCACCCCTGAATATTTTGAGTAAGAAATCAGCCAATTTACTGAAGGAAAATGCTTCCTTTGTGCCAATTTCTTGTCCAGACCCCAGAAAACCTGAAAATAGAAATCAAGTGTCAAGAACTCGTATTCTCAAAAAGACAAAAGACCAAATGATTATATTTACCTGAACAATACCAAGGGTTGCAGATGTAACAGGGTCTGAAAAATCTCCTCCAGGGGGTGAAACAGCACCAACAATGGTGACACTCCCAGTTCTTTCAGGTCCACCAAGACATTTGACTTTACCAGCACGCTCATAGAAAGATGCCAGACGAGCTGCCAGATAAGCAGGATAACCACTATCTGCAGGCATCTCTGCCTGAATAAGAAAAACAAGGTATTCTTTCAGGATAAGTCCCCAATAAAAAATTTCTATAAGCTATGTGGCATGTCCCAAGGTTTAAAATATATATGAAGAACTATATGCTGCTACATAATGAAACTCCACAACAATTGTCATATCTTGTCATTAAAGTGTTTCACAAAAGTAATAAGCAATAATAATCAAGAAAAAGCTAATTTGATAAAAAGGGTTAATTCATACTCCATAGTTTCTAGAGATGATTATACCTTACATATATTTTAAATGTTGGCTACACCAAGCTAATATAATAAAGTGGTGGCTTTATATGGCTACTGAATTTTGTTGGCCAGATCAAGTTCTAGTTTTCAGGTAACGGTCCTATAGCATCATTTATATGTTTACTTACAAGGACTGGAACAGTAGAGTAATGAAAAAGCTTCTGAGGTTACACACTGGTTGTTAATTCCCAAAACAGTGATTATTACGGAGTACATGTACTTATTTTAAAAAAATAAAGATTAAAAAATGAACTCACCAATCGACCAGAAATTTCACGCAGTGCTTCGGCCCAACGAGAAGTAGAATCTGCCATCATACTCACATTGTACCCCATGTCTCTGAAATATTCAGCTATAGTAATTCCTGGAATAATATTGACATAAATACCCACCATTAAGCACATAAAAGGATCAAATTCCTATTTGCATGTAAAATAACTTGGCTGGAGGAATAATATAAAGCTACTATCTGCCTGCATGTTAAAGTTCTTTCTCTTGTAAATCAGTAAATGGTGGAAATGGATTTTAACTAGCACCATTGTCTAAATATATAGCTAGACAACAAGTAAATACAGTGAAACATCTGGCAAAGGATGGCAAGTCAAAAATAATTGATCAACTTTGAAAAGATAATTTGCAGACATGACTTGGGGAAAAATAACAAAACCCACCCGTATAAATTGAAGCCTCACGGGCAGCCACAGGCATGTTAGAAGTATTCGCAACAAGAGTTGTACGTTTCATGACAGATTCCTCACGGCCATCTGGCAATGTCATAGTCAATTGTGGGAAATCCATGAGCACCTGAAATTAGGTATTTTGGTAAAGAAAGATATAAGAGAATGGTTAAAGACTTAAGTTAGAAAATAAGAGAACATAAAGGTCAGTTAGCATACCTCTGCCATTTCATTTCCTCTTTCCCCACAACCAACATAAACAACAGTATCTGAGTTGGAGTACTGTGCTCATGTATCAATGCAAACCAAAAAGAATCAGAGAGCAGTTCAAAAAGAAAAATAACTATGGCACTCTTTTCTCAATTTTAATTGGGGAGCGGTAAACAGTTCCCACATAAGTCAACAGGCCTCACCTTGGAGAGGGCCTGACTAATCACTGTTTTCCCACAGCCAAATGCACCAGGAATTGCACAAGTACCCCCAAGCACCGAAGGAAATAGGGCATCAAGAACACGCTGATATAAAACAATGTCAAACAACAGAAAATTGCTTAAGATAAATAATCTACAGAGTATGAAACACAATGAGACAGGTCCTTATACTAAGGCATCCATTACCTGCCCAGTAAGAAGAGGGGTATCAGCCGCAAGCTTTTCTGCAAC